GGCACCCAGGAATCCCTGGGAACTGCCTCCAAGCCCACGGGCAGCTGCACATGCCCACGTGCAGCCACTGCTCCCCAAATGCTTAACTCCACAGCATGCAAAACGATCCGAGTTAGACTGAACGCGGTGCCCTGTAAGAAGTAAACTCTGCAGTTCTGGAAATGGTAGGAAGGGCTGGACTGTTCCTCAACTCTGCATCCCACCTCTGCCCACTTCAGCTGGGTCATCCACCAGCCTTTTATTTAATATTCTTTTTAAAATAACATTTAAACGCTTTTCAACATCAATGAAATTTCAAATTATACTTAAGGAGGAGCTATTTTGCACTGAGATTGTTTTATTTATACTGATTTTTCCACCTAAAAAAAAAAGCATGTCACACTGAATGGTATTGTCCTCAAGGCAGGCAAGTGGTGGAGCCACTTTGAAACCTGCAGAAACTCCTGATTTCTAGAGAGAGAGAAATGGTCTAACTGCTTATGACTTGCCACCACTTGGGTGTATTTATACAGAGGATAAGATACTCCTGAAAACAAAGTGAAAATAAGTTTTCCAGTGATCTCAAACACAGAAGAAAGCCAAGCATCAGGGCAAAAGGAGCATGTTGTGTCCACTGCTTCTTAAAAGCTCTAACAGTGTGAGCAACAGATGACACCACATGAAACAAGCACGTACCAAGTAAGTGAAACATGGATTGTGACCTCCAAGGGACACAGCAGTCCCTGCCAGGATCAGCACCAGCACCACACACCAGCTGCTGGACCAAGACATGTCATGTTTCTTTGGCACAAGCCCACTCTAAGGAGCAAACAAACTTACTTCCCAGAAGTGCTGCTCTACCAGCAGAGAGAGGAAAGCTTAACCCAGGGCACTAACTCCCTGCTGTGGTTTCGTGGCAGGATCTGCCAGGCTCTGGCTGGGTCTGAACCAGTCACCTTGGCTTAGCTCTGCTTCAGTGACTCCCAGCACATTAAGAGCCTCTCAGCTCCATCTCCAGGGCAGCTTCAGCAGAAATAAAGGCAGAAACTGAATATTATGAAACAAACCACACAGAATATTCCAAAATACACAGTTTCAAAATTTTGGACTGTGGCACTGCAGTAGTCAGACCTGGCAGTTATACACGTGCCCTGATTATCTGGAGAAAACACAAATTTCTTCATGGAGGAGAAACACACTTGTCTCTTCAAAAGATATGAAAGCATTTTTAGCCTCTGCTACAAACAAGTTTCAAGTAAAACATGAGGACTCATGGGCAACCTTGTGCTTTTTAGGACAAGCAACATGATTTGTCTGACCAGTGCCAACAGTTTTGTCTTTTCTAACAATGTTACCTCGAGTTTATTTGGGATTTTGGCTTTTTTTTAACCCAAGCACTTGTTTCAGACACACAACCCATATTATATATAGGCAGTGTATACATAACATTGAGATTGTTTTCTTGCAAAAAATCAACCCAGCAGATAGGATCTATGCACCACCAGCACTTTATTTCCTGTCTCACATAAAATCTCTCCTAGTGATTTTGCTCACAAGCCAAACAAAAAGGGCACATCTCACACTGCCCAGGAGCACGTTCAAGATTGTCAGGAAAAAGGAAATTGAAACAGAACTGATTGCTTGAGATGTCAAAATTCTCTTACCCAACGTTTCCTTCTGCAGCTCACGGCACCTGCTTTGTAGCTCATTCCCTTGCTGGAGAGAAGTTTGAAGCTGCTGAGTTTTCAGCTCCACCGTGTCAGCCACCAGTGACAGGTGCTTCACCTTCTCCTGGAGACACTCGTTCTCACGCTGGGATTTTGCCAGTCTTTGATTCAATTTGGGTATTTCTGAGGAGGAAAAGCACAGAGACTGTTGTCAGGTTTACCTCCTTCAGGGAGAACTGTTCCACCTCACGCAGGACCTCAGGCTCAGCCTAAGGCAGGTCCCTCAGCAGCACCTCTGCTGAGAAGGCAGATGGCCAGAAGAAGTTCCTTGTGCAACCACCTCCTTCCACAGACAGCTGGTACTTAGCCAAACACCTTATTGACAAATAACACACATTTTGTTCTAAGAAGTGCTATTTCCTCTGAGCTCTCATCACTACATCACAATCCATGCCTGTATTCCAAATGAGGTAACAACAGGAGACAGAAACACTTGCATCCAGGCTTTTCATCCTAAGAAGATCCACAAACCATTACTGGCAAGACAAAACTTAACTTTGAAATGTATTTGAGCAGGTATCAAGGGGGTTGTGCTCTGCTGAAGCTCCACTGGAAACTTTTGGTTCAGAAGATGTCTGGCCACCTGTATCACATTTCACTCCTTTGATGACCACTGTGATCTCCAAGTGCTGCTCCCTTACACACAAGCCAGGCTGCTTCACTCCCTCCCCAGCCCTGCTCCATGGAGCACTTCCAGGGAAGCCTCCAGCCAGTTTTTACTGCCAGACAAATCAGTCACTCATGGGGGGGTACAGGGGAACTCCTACATTTTCTTAGTTTTCCCTGAGTTCAGTTATCCTTGATGAGAGTACTTGAACCCTTCCAACAGTACTTGCAGTTCTTTTCTGGGCCTTCACCAACCACATGTTTAGCTGCCCCAAGAACTCCTTTGGCCTTTGTTTACATTAATAACAACCATGTCCAGGCCAGATGAAGCCCAACACTTCTGTCAAAAGCTGTTACATACCCTTTACATGCTGCCCACAGGCAAATCTTAAATTCTTTCTGTGGTGCAAATCTTTTCATTACCTACAACCCTCCCCAACTACTCCACACTTATATCAATTTATTGTTAGACTAAATGATGTAAATACCAGAAAATTTTAAGTTCTTACACTTCTTTCTATTTGCCATTAATTAGCTAAGGCTAAATAATGTACATACACAAGGGCTTTTATAAGCTGTTTGCAAACTAACCAAGGAAACTGGTCTGGGCATAAAGAGCAGCACCTCATGAAACATTTTTCTTCTCAAAATCTGAATGGAAAACAAGTTCTGAGAATCTTGTTGCAAAAACAGCAAGGTAAAATAAACAAAGGACTGTATTTTCCCATATGTTAATAATGAACAACTCATAAAAAGGAACACAAAAGCTTTTGAGTGGCACTCAAAGGTCAAAGAGAAGAATAAATTCTGTGTGACTAAACTGCTTAGATTGAGAAAACTTGATTTAAGGAGCTGTGCAACGTCCAGTTCCTCCTCTCAGAGGGATATGCTGAGTGCAGTCAGGGACATGTAGCAGGGATCATGATCTGCAAAACCATTAAGACAACTTAAACAGCTGCACTTCTGCTTCCATCCAGACATTACATGGATTTGCAGTATGGCAACAAATAAAACAAGGGATACTCCAGAAAAGAAGCCTTGAAGTGTTATGAGTGCCTTTGAAGCTGAAGATGTCTGCAGAAATGCAGGTTTATTCTTCCTTTGTTAGGCAGGAGGAGCAGGGAATGAGCCCAGGAAGAGAAGAATCCTCAGGGACATCCAAGACTTTCTGTCGAGTCTAATTAGGAGATGAATCAAAATGCACAACATTGACACCGACGTTTAAATTAATTGTTAAACTGAACAGCAAGGAGTGATTTTCTGGTCAGGCTCATCTCCAGCAGGCAGGAGCCCCCTCCTCCCTCAGGGCTGTCTGCTGCTGGGGCTCAGGATGCTCCAAGGTCCCTGTCTGGACCCTGGCACAGCCCCAGGGGATGTGTGAGGACTCACTCCTGTGCCACAGCTGCCCCACTTATTTCTTCCCAGCCTGAACAAAATAACCATTGAAAACATTAAAAATGACTTCTCCTTTTACAGGAAGAGAGGGTGCCTGGGGAGCTGCCATTTCAACAGAAGCTCCATATTTCCTGAGATACTCCGTGCACGTGGGTTTCACTTAAGCCACGAATTTGCACCGGAGTTCACTGGGTTTCACCAGCAGAGTGCTTTGGGAGATGCACATCACCCAGCCCATGTCCTTCTATTCCTTCTCAAGATGACAGAAAGCTTGACAGCAGCTCACCTACTTCTTTGCTACCTTATAACCCTTGATAAAAAGCAACTTCCAAGGACCAGCTCATCAACTCACACACACAGAGCACACTGAAACCTGTAAAGAAAGGAATAGGTAATATGAAAAGATGTCCCAAGACCAATGAAGTTGCAGAAGTCAATGCAGGGGCTGTTGGGATGCTCTGGATGGCACAGCCAGTCATTACAGTACTGCACACTTCTCCCAGCAAAACTCAGCTCTTAACTGAAGCAGAGAGCAAAAAGGGCATTAAAGGATAAACCCAAGTTTTCAAGCCCAGCCTGAGGGCTGGGCACGACCTTCATGAACAAGCCATTGGTTGTGGCTTTTTCCCCGCCTCTCCTCTCCTTCAGGCGTCCCCTG